AGGGACACCAGCAACTGAAGGAAGATCACCATACTAGGGACACCAGCAACTGAAGGAAGATCACCATACTAGGGACACCAGCAACTGAAGGAAGATCACCATACTAGGGACACCAGCAACTGAAGGAAGATCACCATACTAGGGACACCAGCAACTGAAGGAAGATCACCATACTAGGGACACCAGCAACTGAAGGAAGATCACCATACTAGGGACACCAGCAACTGAAGGAAGATCACCATACTAGGGACACCAGCAACTGAAGGAAGATCACCATACTAGGGACACCAGCAACTGAAGGAAGATCACCATACTAGGGACACCAGCAACTGAAGGAAGATCACCATACTAGGGACACCAGCAACTGAAGGAAGATCACCATACTAGGGACACCAGCAACTGAAGGAAGGTCACCATACTAGGGACACCAGCAACTGAAGGAAGATCACCATACTAGGGACACCAGCAACTGAAGGAAGATCACCATACTAGGGACACCAGCAACTGAAGGAAGATCACCATACTAGGGACACCAGCAACTGAAGGAAGATCACCATACTAGGGACACCAGCAACTGAAGGAAGATCACCATACTAGGGACACCAGCAACTGAAGGAAGATCACCATACTAGGGACACCAGCAACTGAAGGAAGATCACCATACTAGGGACACCAGCAACTGAAGGAAGATCACCATACTAGGGACACCAGCAACTGAAGGAAGATCACCATACTAGGGACACCAGCAACTGAAGGAAGATCACCATACTAGGGACACCAGCAACTGAAGGAAGATCACCATACTAGGGACACCAGCAACTGAAGGAAGATCACCATACTAGGGACACCAGCAACTGAAGGAAGATCACCATACTAGGGACACCAGCAACTGAAGGAAGATCACCATACTAGGGACACCAGCAACTGAAGGAAGATCACCATACTAGGGACACCAGCAACTGAAGGAAGATCACCATACTAGGGACACCAGCAACTGAAGGAAGATCACCATACTAGGGACACCAGCAACTGAAGGAAGATCACCATACTAGGGACACCAGCAACTGAAGGAAGATCACCATACTAGGGACACCAGCAACTGAAGGAAGATCACCATACTAGGGACACCAGCAACTGAAGGAAGATCACCATACTAGGGACACCAGCAACTGAAGGAAGATCACCATACTAGGGACACCAGCAACTGAAGGAAGATCACCATACTAGGGACACCAGCAACTGAAGGAAGATCACCATACTAGGGACACCAGCAACTGAAGGAAGACATCACCATACTAGGGACACCAGCAACTGAAGGAAGATCACCATACTAGGGACACCAGCAACTGAAGGAAGATCACCATACTAGGGACACCAGCAACTGAAGGAAGATCACCATACTAGGGACACCAGCAACTGAAGGAAGATCACCATACTAGGGACACCAGCAACTGAAGGAAGATCACCATACTAGGGACACCAGCAACTGAAGGAAGATCACCATACTAGGGACACCAGCAACTGAAGGAAGATCACCATACTAGGATCACCAGCAACTGAAGGAAGATCACCATACTAGGGACACCAGCAACTGAAGGAAGATCACCATACTAGGGACACCAGCAACTGAAGGAAGATCACCATACTAGGGACACACCAGAAGATCACCATACTAGGGACACCAGAAGGAAGATCACCATACTAGGGACACCAGCAACTGAAGGAAGATCACCATACTAGGGACACCCAGCTGAAGGAAGATCACCATACTAGGGACACCAGCAACTGAAGGAAGATCACCATACTAGGGACACCAGCAACTGAAGGAAGATCACCATACTAGGGACACCAGCAACTGAAGGAAGATCACCATACTAGGGACACCAGCAACTGAAGGAAGATCACCATACTAGGGACACCAGCAACTGAAGGAAGATCACCATACTAGGGACACCAGCAACGGAAGGAAGATCACCATACTAGGGACACCAGCAACTGAAGGAAGATCACCATACTAGGGACACCAGCAACTGAAGGAAGATCACCACTAGGGACACCAGCAACTGAAGGAAGATCACCATACTAGGGACACCAGCAACTGAAGGAAGATCACCATACTAGGGACAGCAGCAACTGAAGGAAGATTATCACCATACTAGGGACACCACAACATCACTAGGGACACCAGCAACAGGGACACCAGCAACTGAAGGAAGATCACCATACTAGGGACACCAGCAACTGAAGGAAGATCACCATACTAGGGACACCAGCAACTGAAGGAAGATCACCATACTAGGGATACCAGCAACTGAAGGAAGATCACCATACTAGGGACACCAGCAACTGAAGGAAGATCACCATACTAGGGACACCAGCAACTGAAGGAAGATCACCATACTAGGGACACCAGCAACTGAAGGAAGATCACCATACTAGGGACACCAGCAACTGAAGGAAGATCACCATACTAGGGACACCAGCAACTGAAGGAAGATCACCATACTAGGGACACCAGCAACTGAAGGAAGATCACCATACTAGGGATACCAGCAACTGAAGGAAGATCACAATACTAGGGATACCAGCAACTGAAGGAAGATCACTATACTAGGGACACCAGCAACTGAAGGAAGATCACCATACTAGGGACACCAGCAACTGAAGGAAGATCACCATACTAGGACACCAGCAACTGAAGTATGGGACACCAGCAACTGAAGGTAGGTCACCATACTAGGGACACCAGCAACTGAAGGAAGATCACCATACTAGGGACACCAGCAACTGAAGGAAGATCACCATACTAGGGACACCAGCAACTGAAGGAAGATCACAATACCAGGGATACCAGCAACTGAAGGAAGATCACTATACTAGGGATACCAGCAACTGAAGGAAGATCACTATACTAGGGACACCAGCAACTGAACTGGGACACCAGCAACTGAAGGAAGATCACACCAGCAACTGAAGGAAGATCACCATACTAGGGACACCAGCAACTGAAGGAAGATCACCATACTAGGGACACCAGCAACTGAAGGAAGATCAACATACTAGGGACACCAGCAACTGAAGGAAGATCACAATACCAGGGATACCAGCAACTGAAGGAAGATCACTATACTAGGGATACCAGCAACTGAAGGAAGATCACTATACTAGGGACACCAGCAACTGAAGTATGGGACACCAGCAACTGAAGGAAGATCACCATACTACACCAGCAACTGAGGGGTCACCATACTAGGGACACCAGCAACTGAAGGTAGGTCACCATACTAGGGATACCAGCAACTGAAGGAAGATCACCATACTAGGGACACCAGCAACTGAAGGAAGATCACCATACTAGGGACACCAGCAACTGAAGGAAGATCACCATACTAGGGACACCAGCAACTGAAGGAAGATCACCATACTAGGGACACCAGCAACTGAAGGAAGATCACCATACTAGGGACACCAGCAACTGAAGGAAGATCACTCACCATACTAGGGACACCAGCAACTGAAGGAAGATCACCATACTAGGGACACCAGCAACTGAAGGAAGATCACCATACTAGGGACACCAGCAACTGAAGGAAGATCACCATACTAGGGACACCAGCAACTGAAGGAAGATCACCATACTAGGGACACCAGCAACTGAAGGAAGATCACCATACTAGGACACCAGCAACTGAAGGAAGATCACACCAGCAACTGAAGGAAGATCACCATACTAGGGACACCAGCAACTGAAGGAAGATCACCATACTAGGGACACCAGCAACTGAAGGAAGATCACCATACTAGGGACACCAGCAACTGAAGGAAGATCACCATACTAGGGACACCAGCAACTGAAGGAAGATCACCATACTAGGGACACCAGCAACTGAAGGAAGATCACTATACTAGGGACACCAGCAACTGAATGGGACACCAGCAACTGAAGGAAGATCACCATACTAGGGACACCAGCAACTGAAGGAAGATCACCATACTAGGGACACCAGCAACTGAAGGAAGATCACCATACTAGGGACACCAGCAACTGAAGGAAGATCACCATACTAGGGACACCAGCAACTGAAGGAAGATCACCATACTAGGGACACCAGCAACTGAAGGAAGATCACCATACTAGGGACACCAGCAACTGAAGGAAGATCACCATACTAGGGACACCAGCAACTGAAGGAAGATCACCATACTAGGGACACCAGCAACTGAAGGAAGATCACCATACTAAGGACACCAGCAACTGAAGGAAGATCACCATACTAGGGACACCAGCAACTGAAGGAAGATCACCATACTAGGGACACCAGCAACTGAAGGAAGATCACCATACTAGGGACACCAGCAACGGAAGGAAGATCACCAAACTAGGGACACCAGCAACTGAAGTACTAGGGACACCAGCAACTGAAGGAAGATCACCATACTAGGGACCATGGGGACTTTTGCTACCTGCATGAACCATACCTGGATTTACATCATCCCTTCAGCCGCTGGCTATTTTATTTTTAGTCAGCAATATTCCAGCTCTATTTCTGTAGATAATCGAGTCAGGATCACACAATCCAGTGATAAACAGCATGAGCATCAATCGACGCAATTGGGATACGATGACACATGCCAACGCGCCTGACCACCCAACCCCGTTAGTCGCCTCTTACAACAAACATGGGTTGCTGAAGACCAATTATAACCTGGATCTTCACAGGTGCAAAATGAAGTAAAGACAAATGGCTTTTTTCCTATAACATAAACGTTCTTGTATGACAGCTTAGTCAGATCTTAACAGAGACACATTTGATGAGTTCCCAGATGTGTTCAACTATTTCTTTAATACTGTATATCTTTCGACACCATCTGTTAAAATAATAACGATATCCTAACAATTAATTTTGAGTTCATAATATAATAATATCATCAAAATTATAATACATTCAATCAGAAAATGAATAAAATTCATATAGAAAAGACTCAAATATTTTACTTACCAAGCGTCCGGACGTATATTGCATTTTTGTCCGATCGATCAAATGAGATTCCACCCCGTCTCTGTGAAGACAAAACAAAATGCATTATCATCCTGTCTGGAATCAGTCTAGTATTTATTCAATGTATTCAGCTATGTAGGTAATAATTCCTTCTTTTATCAAAAAAAAATTCCCATGAACGATGTCACAGTAACATGACAATGGAGAAAATGTCAATACCCGTACTCATCCCCAACCCGGTCACGGCTAACAAAACTACAATACAGTTGTATTAACAATGACTTGAAAAGGCAATCCATTAAAGAAGAACTACACTTACTAGGTAGTCAGTCAAAGTGACTCAAAATACAAATATGTTAATGATCACTGCAACCTAAATTTCTGGTATGTTTTGGAAGTGCAAGAAGCTCATCGACAACACTGGAGGGTTGACTGGGTCACTACTGTAGAGTTTTCTCACACAAAGCCAAGATGAGGTGACACAGGATATGATGCTTTGTCCAAACCTAATATGAACAGGGGTGTTGCCTGTATGTATTCATCGCACCTACTCATGCGGATACAGCAAACTCAAGGCTAGGAGATAGTTCTTTGGGGCTGACAAAACAGTCGCTTTCATTTATTATCCTTGTGTGTCACTGTGAACAATGTCTAACTTTATGACATGGTTGGTGAGTGAATGCGAGTGAGTGAGAGAGTGAGTTTAGTTTTACGCCGCTTTTAGCCATATTCCAGCAATATCACGGCAGGGGACACCAGAAATGGACTTAACACATTGTGCCCATGTGGGGAATCGAATCCAGGTTTAACCACTAGTCTACCCCACCGCCCCAGTGAATGAGAGTTGCGAATTGGTCATACTTCTAGAATCGAACAAAACTGGTTAGTTCACACCCAGTTGATGAGGTCATCACGACCTCAAGATGATCCAGAAACAAATAATTTGCTCAAAACCCCATTAATCCAAATCCATTCCAAATACAAAATTCATCTCAACATGACTTAGATCATGATGCTAGGTCAATATAACCATTACTGAACTAGTTCTTGAAATATTGCGTGTATCTAAAAGAAAACTACTTTCTACCAGATCCTGACTACTTGGTTGGTGATAGTGTTAGAATTGATCAATGCAGTCTGGCTACAATTCAGTCAGTTACAACACCTGTAATCTGCAGTGTCAGTGCCCCAATCACATCACCCGAGCCCCAATCCTCAGCACCATTTTCTAGGGTTATATGGAGCATTGTTAAGTAACCTTAGACTGAGACCTCGTCTTCAGATTGGCGGCTGTGACTATAGACTGGCGATTCTGTTTCTAGACACCTCTTATAAGCACAGGAAGCTGATGTTACTGGTGGAATTACCGTGGTGTGGGGTCGCTAGATAACTGTGGGGATTCAATGTTAGAATCAGTCCCCAAAGCAACATGTCCATCACAGACGAAATGAATCGGGTGGTTTGGTTGATTGCATGCCACAGTGCGTGAAGTGCCTGGATTGCTCATGATGTCAATCACTGGATTGTCCAGACAGGATTATTTCCAGATCACCGTCCTCACCTCTTACATGCACAGAAAAATGTGATCCCTCCTGGCGTGAATCCACAAGGGTCATATGTCAGTGGCTTGTGAAATGTGGTACAATTCATTTTTTTATATCTCATAACATATGCTTCTTTAATATAAGAAGGTATGATACTTTATGGATAACAACTTCTTTGTTATGGATAACAACTTCTTTATTATATTTTGATATGATATTTCAGTATATTGGCACTCTTGCTTGACAATGGTATACGACTGACTGACTGAGTTTTTGTTTTATGCCGCTTTTAGCAATACTCCAGCAACATCACGGCCAGGGACACCAGAAATGGGCTTCACACATTGTGCCCATGTGGGGATTTGAACCCGGGGTCTTCGGCGTGACAAGCTAACACTTTAACCACTAAGGCTACCCACCACCCTGACAACGCTATAAGAATCTATACCGAGACGTCGCATCATGTATATAAAGAAGTTTTTATCCCTAAAGTATCATGCCATTCTTATTATTCATCACGTCTAAAAAGCCAATCAGACAGGTTCTTCAATATACATATGAACTGTTTTGTGTCATTTTTTGTACCACAAGGCAGAACTCCTTTCATGACACAGCATGTCCAGATTACTTTAATCTTTGGTTAATCCTTACAGCACTAGGTTTAACATTTAAGATATACCAGATAACTTTTGGGGGTGTGAGTGTACTTACACATCATATTGCAAGTGGAGGTGTACTGAGAATTTTGAAGGAGTACTGACATGTTTTTGAGTGAGCGAGTTGGTGATGTGGTTTGTCTGGACGATTCATCGATCACTATTTCCAACCATGTATTTGTATTTGAAGTCGCGTGAGAAATCACTGAGCGACGGTGTGATGCGCGAAATGTCAGGTCCGACTGGATATAAATAGCAACAGTGTAGTTTTTAGCCAATCGAAAAATAGTGACGCATATCGTTGCATGGCAACGCAAGTGATTCCTACTGTCAGGGCTTCCTCATGTGTCAAATCATGTTTCTCAAAAGAAACTTGACAAGTATTTATCCGAAATATATTTCCATTTGCACGATACGCACGAAAATTAAATGTTAGACGTACAAAGGTATTTATGTGCGTATACGATACGCTTGAAATCTTATATTATGTCGTACTTAATTGATTTTGAGGCGTACATTACGCCTGTACGCCCCTTATCTGTAGCCCTGTATACTATGTTTAACTATTAAATGAACATATACAGGATAATGAGGATCAACAGAACTTTGACAAAATAGCCATTTTCTTGAAATAAATCTCTCATTTCATTACACCAACTTTTACAATCAACTCCTAAGAGGTCCAACTTTTATAGATACCCTATTAGTATAATCCTATAATGCACCTGCCACACAGGTACCCGGTGTGAGGTCAAGGGATAGGGTGAAACAAGTGACCTGCGATGGGGTTACAATAGTACATTCATACTAAGCATTACCTAAAAGGTTATTTCTGTTTTAAGTTCCATGACAAAAGATCCAGGTCAACCAGTATACTTAGTAATGTGTACTAAACAAATGTCAGCTCACCTGCTAGAGTATTAAATTTACAAAAATTAATCTTCCCATTCAACACTCAGAGAAACATTATCATAAAATGCTCATTTTCAGAATTCACTCATGTTAAACATCGCTTACAAAAATGAAAATTGTAAATAAAAATTATCACATAAAGAATGATGCAGAATGACAACATCACAGCAACAAAGGAAATGTTTCATACGAGAAAACCAAGTTATTCAAGTAATTTTAAAAGATAATTGTACAATTGTGGATCCTCATAAGAAAAAAAAAATGTAGACATTAAACAGTTATATGAAAGAATTCTCTTAAAATCAGTAAACTGTAATCTCCAACAGAAATATGTACATAATCAACTCATATATAGAGGAAATTGAACCAATAAAAGCCAATAAGATATGAGTGAGGTTGTCTGTACAACTAAAACAAACAAATTCTTCAGCATCAAACACATTTTGCGTATGTTCAGACAACAAGATAAATTAAACATGTCAAAATTCATGCTTGACTGTAATCTCAAGACAAATAGATTGTGCTGTAGATACACAAATGATGGCAGTATATATACGCATGGAAACAAATAAGGAACACATGAAAGTACAAGTGTTACTTTATTCTTTTCTAGAATTTCACCCACATGCAATACAAAACTTGTGAAAAAACCTGGAAAAGAATAAAGGAACACTTGTTCTTTCAGGTGTTCCCTTATTTGTTTCCATGAGTATAGTTTGAGGGGTCTGATTATCAACCAGTTCTCAACACTCAATTTTTCTACAAATTTGAACTGTATAAACAATAAAACAAATAGAAAATGGAATAACAATATTTATCAGTTGAAGCAGGAATATCTACAAACTCTGAGACGAGTTAAATCAGATTTACCCCACCAACTGGTCTAGTCTTAAGAAAAGTTGAAATTTCTTAGTTTTTAGAGACCATTATAAACAAAGCCAAAGTACATACCGCTTCAACCTCTGCCTTGTACCTAGCATACATTCTGTCACTTCCTGCTTCTGGGTTAATAAGGATCCATCACAGTGACAGCCAACTTGAACACCTTGTGTCTACACACATAGTGAACCCTCCTTCCAAGTTCAGCCCTCCCTTCCAACACAGTGGGGAGGATATCTACCACCACGGTGAGATTTCACCCTAATTTAATCAAAGTCCCCTCACAAAGGTCCCTATCGGGGCCATGTAAGGCCTCCCTGTCTCAAAAGTCGAGAGTTAATGACACATGATCGGAGTGCTCCGCAGACACAAAGAGTTAACATAGACTGATCAACAGCATTCAGAACTGGAAAATGGAAAGTGAAAGACTGGTGTTTTGGTAGTTAAAGCCGTACCAAAGCTTGCAGAGACCAAGCCTCGCCAGGCTTACCCTGCTTGTGTGTATACACTAATACACTAAAGGAGTATTAGGGAAAAGGATTTCCCTTCGTGTAGATCCTAGTCTCTTGCTTCAGTGAACTGCCTACGTATGTATATCAGTGTGCTGGAGACATGTCTCATAACACGGTACACAGTGCATTATGTCCAGCCTACACGGACATAACACCGGAGTTGTGGGTTCAACATTTAAGCATCAGTGCTTGGGAATAAAGTTGAAACAAAATATTGAAAATATTGTTTCAATAAATATAATTATTTACATTACATGCGTACACAATCATAAAAAAAATTCTGATTTTATTTGACAATGATACTTTAATATTTGCAAATTCGTTTTGTGAGCCAGATTACATGTAAAGTTGTCTTTAATGTGGTCAGAGAGTTTCAAATATTCCCCTGTATAAACACTAAAAAGGTTATTGTTTCAATGTAAATCAAATCTTGAATACTATATCAGTTTTGTGGAAATATTGTGATGCTGCACATTATTTAAACCACCTTAGATAAAAATCATTGATGGAGACTTTGAAATATTGGAAACAGCACAGAATATTCTTTTTATTCAATTG